CCCGTGAACAGCCACTCCCTGACTGCAGGGCAGCAGCAGAGCAGGAAGAAAAGAAAGCAAACCCTGAATTTGGGGCTGAAAAATCCCTATTTGGGGCTAAACACGCTTCGTTTTGCAGGGGGGGAAGGGACGTGGGTTCCTGCAGCCTCGGTTGCCTGTTCCTGCACCCGGCTGGTACCTCCCCACGAGGAGACGGCTGAACCCAAATCCCATATCCATCGAGAAGCACCGATGCTGGGGGGGTTCAGACCAGCTGGGTAAACAGGCTGCCTTCACAAACACGCCTATTTCTGTATAAAAATCAAGAGCTCAATAATTATCTGTGTCACGGCTTTACTTTCCCCCCCGGCTCGTGAGCGCGGGCTGCCTCTGCCTGCGTCCCACCACCTCCCTTAACCCCTGCCCACGCTCCGGCTTCGCTTTTGCAGGCAGCAGCCATGTGTTCCTGCGGTGTGCACCACCGAAAACACCGTCCTGAGTGGGGCTGTGGGCTTGGAAAGTCCTGCCTTTACCCTGAGGTGAAGAAGCTGAGGAAGGCTCTGGGCTGCTCCGGCCAGCGGCGCGCCAGGCGAGCCCCAGCCCTTCAGCGTGGCCCCGCTTCGACGTATCCTCCTCTTTTGTCTCCGTGTAAGAACAACAAACAACACACACACACACACACACACACATGCTCAGAAAAATGTCTTATAAAATAAAATAGTAAAATAATAATAATAATAAAAAAAAAGCGTGCAGGAAATTCTTGCCCTTTAACTCGGAGGCTCTGGGAAGGAGGGATTGCTCCCCTGGGCAGCCGCAGCTGTGTCAGATGGAGGAAAGCTGCCTGCAGCCTGCCCCGCTGATGGGAACCAGATGACAACAGCCCCCCCGAGCAGCGGGAGAGAGGCCAAAGATGCTGCTCGCCGGCACGTGATGATACTGGGGCGCTGGAGCAGCCTGTGTTCTCCACCACCTTCCTTCCCCAGCCCGGAGAAAACGGGGTTGGGAAGGAAAAATGATGGTTCTTATGTGTTTGTCCCCCCAAAATCTGGCTCTTCTGGAGCAGAAGTGCTTTCCCTGCAGAGTGTGGGCTGCATTGTATGGAGTGGAGTGAAGGTGGAAAGGTGGAGCTTGAGGGACAGGAATATACCAGCTGCGGTGGGCAGAAACGCAAAGGTCTGAAACTCCTGGAGTAGATAACTCAACTGGTGGATTGTTGCTGGTCTCAGGGAGGTGACAGCAACTGGGACAAGTCAGGGACTTCAGAGATGTTGCAGAGGAAGGAAATGCTCTGGGAGACCTCAACCATCAGAAATGGTGAGGAATCCTTAAGGAAATGACCAAGGCAAAAAAATTCGGCACAAATTGAAACCGGACGGCGCTGCTGCGAGAGGAACAGGCTGCCCAGAGAGGTGGGCGATGCCCCGTCCCTGGAAACATTCCAGGTCTTGTTGGACGGCGCTCTGAGCAACCTGATCTAGCTGAAGATGGCCTTGCCCGTGGCAGGCGGGTGGGACACGTGGCGCCTAAACCTAAATGTCCCTTCATGCCCAAAGCTGGCAGAAGAGAGCGGAGCTGGTGGGTGAGACCTCTCCTGCAGCTGGGAATGCCGTGGAGGAAACCAGGCAGAGCAAGATGCCCAGCAGCACATCTTCAGGGCCAGATGTTGCTCGCCTGGGAGCCCTGACGTGGGTGTCATCAGCCAACGGAGTGCACCTGGGTCTCCAAAAATCAGTAGGTGGGCTCAGCTTAAGGATGCTGAGCTGTTAAAAATGGGTCCAGTGCCCTTGAGGAGCGGGAACTGGTTACGGATGGGGAATGGGAGCTGGTGGAGGAGACAGCGAGGGCAGCCCCATAAGCAATCCTGAGGTCGCCTGTGGCCTGGGACAGTGACACTGTGCATGCCACCATGCTCTCTGCGGGGCAGCCGGGCCCATCTCAAGTGTTGCTGGGAACAGCCCATCATCGGAGCCGACGCTGCTTTGGGATGTGTTAGGCGGGTCTAACCAAAAGTTTCTCCTCCCCATCCCCAACCTCTGCTAGATTTAGGCTGAGTTGGGGTTTTGTTGGTGTTTTTTTTTTTGGTTTTGGGGTTTTTTTAGCTTCATATACATCTGGCAGAGGAAAAACCCTTTAAAAGAAAGAAGCACTTGGTGGACGATGCCAACAGACTCACAAGGGTGCTTTAAAACACATCCCATCCCCTCTGCCTTATCCTTCCCCATCCACCTCGGCTTTTCCTGTGCAGTCCTCCCAGGCCCCTTCATTGCCTTGCTCTCCTGGAAGGTTTTTCTCCTTCTTTTCTCTTTTTCCCTTCTCCTCATCTCTCTTTTCTCCACACAAGCTCTCCGGTGAGCAGAGAGGACAGTCCCTTTGGTGGTACAGCTTCCTGACTTCCCCCTGGGGTCAAGCCCAGCTCTCCGAGGTGTCAGGGCTGGAGAGCATCCCCAGCTGAGGACAAAGTTCCTGTGAGCTGGAAAGGAGGGACCCTCGGGGTTGGGACTGAGCCCACGAGATCAGGAGAACCCCTTGCTGACATCACTCTGGTCCTACCGGTGCCTTCACCCAGAGAGGGTCAAGGTCTTGCTCGACCATTTCCTACTGCGGGTGAATCAGTGCAGCTCAGTCTGTTTTTTTCTGGACTAGGCGCACGATTTTGGTGCAGATGCCATGACGAAAGACCCTCAGCTCTTCCCATGGCAGAAGCTTGCTCCCCACTGCCATCCTGCTCCTTGGCCATCACCTCTGCTCCAAAAATCAGCACTGCTGAGAGAGGCAAGACACAAAACCTACAAAGCTCAGGGGAGAGGACCTCCCTGGAGGAGGGTGGAAGGAGCTCCTGGGTCTGCAGGGTGAGGTGGGACACCATGGTCTCGGAGCAAGCCCCAGAAGAAGCTGCCAAACTCCCACCTTCCCAGGCAGAAACGTGTTCTCCCTCCAGCAATATGCCGAAATCCTCCTCCTTGCCTGCCTGTGGTGTTTAGGAAGGGGACTTCTCTTATTGACCCGAATTTATCCATAAATTAGCCATCCCTACCTTGGCTCGTTTACTGCTATTTCCTCCTGACCATGTTCCCTGCAGGATGTTCTCCATGGAAGAGTGAAGAAGACTGATGTGTACTCACTTTACAGAATAATTTTCCCCATTTGGAAATGAGGAAAATAATACTGCACTGGGGTAATTTTGAGGGAAAATGCATCCAGGATAGGAAAATACCAACAAGGGAAAATACTCAGGACTCTGCTGCGGAGAGGAGAAGCTGTTCCTTGACCAGATCAGACCATCTTTGTGAGATGGTTTGACCTGGGATTTTTGGTGAGGAGGCTCATCGACCCCAGATGCCTCCCCCCCTCCCCAGAATAAGCTGCATTTCCTAGGGAACCGATAGCTCTCCTGTGCTCAGAAGAAAGTCATTATAGATGTGTAAGACTAGTGCTGCAGAAAAACAGGCCTTTACTTAAAGCCCGGGTTTGGACTGTTGCCTAACTCGGTGTCTGTTTCCTATAAATCTCAGAGAATCCCATAAACTGTAGAAATTCAGTTCTTGCTGCCAGCGTCGTTTGCTATTTATTGGAGAAGGGGTTGGATGAAACCCCCTTATCTGAGCACCCCTGACCCCTGGGAAGTGGGGGCTGTAGTTTGGGGCTCCCTTCCTGGGGGAAACATCCAAGCCCTGGAAGTGACTTCCATCCACGTGGGCCAGCAAGGGGAGGTGGAGGGAGGGACCCCTGTGCTGGTGACGGGCTCTGGTGGGACCTGGGGGTGGTCTATCTACCCAAGGGGGATGCCTGATGGCTTTGCTGCCGTGGAGTCATCCTCACCCCAAACCAAGGACGCCTCCAAGAAATGCATGGGGAAGGGGGTGCATCAAGGCCACAGCTGGTGGAGCCCTGGAGACAGCTTAACCTTCTTCAAGCCAAGAGGCCTCCTCAGATACAGGGGTTACTCTACGCCGGTGAAAGGATCATGGATAGAAGCAATGCAGCACATGGCAAAGATTCACCGATCCTTTGGCACGCTGTCTGATCCATCGCCTCCCAAAATGAAGAGGAGAAGTGCTTCATCTCCCCGGGCAAGGGGGCTTGAGATGCAGATGAGCTTTGGGGAAGGGTCACCAGGCTCATGGGGGTTGATGCTCTACTGCTGTGGTGTGGCCACGACTCTCCCCTGAAGGCAGGAGTTGTGCTGGGGTTGTCTCCATCACTCCTGGGCTGGTAAGCACTGGAGAAAGCTTTCATCCTCAGTGTTGGGTCTTCAGAGAGCTCCTTGCTGGAGCTGTGATGCCCACCACGGGATCTTTTAACACATCTCAGCCCTGACCCAGCAGAGCAATAATTAACATTGCTGTCTTAGGGGTGGAAACGTGATGCAGGAGCCCATCAACCTCCTCCCTCCAGAAGGGACACGTCCCCTGGGAGTGAGCTTTGTAGAACAAATCTGGCACGGGGGCTTGGTGCTCTGCTGAAGCCCGATTCAACTGGCCCAGGGCTCCTTGGGATAATTTGCTTGTCTAATGAGTGCTTGGCACCGGCCAGTGAGAAAAGCCCACTTTCCTCAGCTCCAGGGAAGGAAAGAAAACCGCAGTCCCGAAGCGTGTTGTGGTTTTGGTTGGCAGACCTCGGCGTTCGATGCGCCGCCAGGAACATCTCGGCGCCGATGTCTCCCTTGCGGGAGCACCCGCCCCTGCCGCTCTCGTGCCTTCGCAAGGCTTGCTCCAGGGACGCATCCAGGGGTTAGTTTGACCTCCTGCAGCATCAGACCAGGCGTTTTCACCCCGCAGCTCAGATAAAGCCCTTGCACCCCCACCACACGACATTGCAATCCTGCAGGACAGTTACCTCCAGAAACCCCAAGAGATAGTGCTGGAAAATGAGCATGAAATGCTGCTTGCTTTCTTCTTGCAGCATGTAGGGCTTTGTGCCCCACTGGCAGCCTCTGCCTTGGTGGTAGGATGGAGACTTATCCCAGCCACATCAGCCCAGAAACCCTGTGCTTCCAGTTAGATGGGATGGGGCGGTGGAAATAGCACCCAGCAACTTTCTTCAAGACCACACAGCGCTGCATAGATATCTTCTAACCATCCACGTGGCCTGGAGAGACATCTCTGGCAGCTAACAAGCCCCAGGAGGTCAGCTTGTGCCTGGACTGGGGTGATTGGGAGAGCAGTGGGATGTCAGTAGGGCGAGTGATCACAGCAGCGAGGGTTTGAGGGACAGAGGACTGGACACGTGCTAATCCTGCAGGAGACCTTCTTGCCTCGGGCAGCAGCTCTGGGAGCTTCACGCTGCTCCCTTGCTATCAAAGGAGGCCACCAGCAGCATTTCATCTCCTGCATCTCTGTTCTACCTAAATCTTCCTGGGGCTGCACTGGGAGGCACTGGGAGGTGGATGGTGTGTACCTAGGAAAGGTCCTTCTCCTAAAGACACCATAAAGTGGAGAAGGGATGGAAGATGTGCTCCTGCCCCTAGACTACAAGCAGCTTTCTGGTGGCATGCAAGGTACAGGAGATGGCCACCGCTGTGGCTACCACATGGGGAGGATGGGCCGCCAGATGCAACACGGGGGGTCTCACCCCAACCTCTGCCCCTGGCGATGACCAGCATTTTGGAGGACATAGAGGAAAACTGGACACCAGCTCGCCAGCTCAACGCTGAGTTTGCAGGCAGAGCAGAGAGAGGACACCACAAGCATGAGATGAGAGGAACACACGCCACTTTGGCCACCGGTGACCAGGGCAGGCTGCAGGCAGGTCAGCTCTGCCCGGGGTGTTGTCCCTTCCTGGGGTTGGGCTCTTCCTGCCTCCCCCTGCCCACAAGGCATTTTGAGGCAGAAAGAGCACGTTTTGGGATTATCCATCCTGTTTTATTTTGCAGCATGGAACTTCTTTTAAAAAGTCTCCTGGGACAGATCTGTCCTGCTAAATAGGTGCGTGGCCACTTCCTACACCCACAGCTTCTCCCTGCTCTTAGCTGGGGTGTGGTGAGATGCTGCAAAACCACAGTGAGCCAGAAAAGTTCACCAGAAAACAAATACAAGGTTGTTCCTAAAACCCTGCTGGAGCCAAACGTGGGAGGGCAGCCTGGCAGGTCCTCACGGGGCTCTGGTGAGGGCTTGGCGCTGGCAGCGCTGCCTGCCTGCCTGCATCAAACCCCACTGCATGGTAGGAGCATCACAAACCCAAGAGTTTTGCCCTTCTCCCTCCAACCCCTGGCCTCTTTCCACCACTGTACCTTGGTGGGAAGGTCTGGGTGCAGAGGTTATTCATGTGCACGCGCCCAGCTCAGCAAGAGTTCCTCTCCTCCCTGCAGCTCCAGGTGAGTCCCAAGCCAGGGGACCCACCGCTCTCCCACCCGTGACCAGTGTCACTGCCCCTCATCCAGTCTCCAGAGCCAGTCTGCCCAGCCAGACCCCACGACCCACCTGAAAGCACGCGCAGAGGCTGGTCCTTACCTTTGAACCCCCGCATCCCCACTGGACCTGGAGGGCCAAGATCTCCTTGGTCCCCTTTCAAGCCACGTGGTCCTGGTGGTCCTCTCTCCCCGGGTAGCCCTGGAGCAAGGACAAAGAGGCAAAATGACCCAGTTGCAGCAGACAGACGCAAACCAGATGTGCCCACACCACACACACACACACACTCATGCATCCTGCTTGCCAGCAGATGTGCCAGGTGGCCTCTGGTTCTCTGCCAGAAGTTGGGGACCATCAGGAGATACCTGAGAGTTTACCTCACCCTCTCTTTCTACACTTGCCCCTGGATGGATTTAACCCAGAGATGGGCTGGTGCTAATACAGCTCTGAGCATCTTAAGGCTCCAAAGCTGGAGACCAAGGAGGAAGACTGAGGAGCTGGGGTGGAGCAGAGACCTCAAGGAGACGTGATGTGCACAGCATGAGCTGCAAGTCCCTTGCTCCCATGCATGCTGACCAGGCAGGTTTACTGGAGAAGGGTTTACTGGAGAAGGGTTGGATGAAACCCCCTTATCTGAGCACCCCTGACCTCTGGGAAGTGGGAAACAGGGGCTGTAATTTGGAGGTCCCTTCCTCGGAGACACATCCCAGACCTGGAAGTGACTTCCATCCACGTGGGCCAGCAAGGGGAGGTGGAGAGAGGGTCCCCTGTGCTGGTGATGGGCTCTGGTGGGACTTGGGGGTGGTCCCACCAGATCGACTCAGCAGGGACTCAGCTCGAGCCTGGGTCAGATCCGAAGACCCTGGGGGAGAAGCTCCTCCAGCACCCGAGCTCAGCCCCCTGCCTGGCACAATGCTGCCGGTCCCTGCCCGTGCAAGGGGAGCCCTGGATTCCCTTGGCACTGCGCCTTCCGCCCCTCCTGGGCTGGGCTTTTCCAAACTTAGTCAATATTTTCCTCTGGTTTAAGAGGGAAAAAAAGCTGCCAGGAGGAATTTGGGCATCAGCTCCAATAGACATGCTCTGGGGCTTAACTCTTTC